TGTGTTCAAGCAAATAATGAACATGAACAAGACATCAACTTGATAAAGTTTTTTTGTTCTTTTGTTTTGGGTTTTTTTTTCCAATTTTTTTAGAAGGAAATCCCAGCAGAATTGTTTCTTTAGTAAACTGTATATTGATTTCCGCCTTGCTTTTTACCCAGTTTTGGACTTCAATCCAGACTGAGTTCACAATTTCATAAAACATGACAAATATCTGCTATGAACTTATTACAAGTTGTAGAGACAGGAGAGTTTAGGTATCCAATCTTAAACAAAATTAATACTTTCCAACTGGAAGGATTCGGTTAATAATTTCATATTGAAACCACCGTAATTGAACACTATCAGTTGATCGAAAAGGAATTTCATTAATATTCCTCCATTGCATATCTGTATATTGTTTTACTATATCTTTCTCCCATTGTTGATTGGCTGAAGTCGTCTGGAACTTGGATCCTAATAACACATTATAGTAGTATTTTGAGCCTTTTTTGGTATTCAGGAGCAAACGAATATTAAATGGTAATAATGGTCCTGTTAATGGTGTAATATTGGCATAATCAAGCACGTTTAAATATATATTCAAACCCTTTTTTACACCGTAAAATGTTAAATAATTGGAGGAAATATTGTAGTTATTTTTGAAATCTAGGTATGGAAGAGTTTGACCATCCTGATCTATCAAATCATTGATATACTTTACTCCGGCTTCCTCCCATTGTTTAGAACATATGCATTTTTTATCAATCTTTACATTATCATTACACCGTATATACTGTGAGTACGCATCTTTTCATGTGTTCTTATGCTTATTCAGGAATAGAGCACAGGATGATAAAACATCTCGCCAGAAGGGGTTTCTTATGTTGTTAATGATATTATCTCTTATATAGATTTCATCCATTTCTAAAATATTACTTGGAATAGTATTTGATTCGTAAAGAAATAATTGATGTATTGTGTTCGAGAAGGTAAATCGTCTAAGACATGAAATCTTTTGAAAAGCAAATACATCCCTTATAAATGGAGTATTGAACCCCCCGTCCGGAATATTGCATATTACCCTGTTCCTTTTAATCTTATCGGGATTTTCGTTCCAAATAAATCGAAAGCAGGTTTGCTTGGAAATTTTGTATTACAGTTTCTGGTGGTGTGGGAACGGTAGGTAACAATAAGGATTTTAGCACTGTGTTACGTCCAAACGGCATTGACGTTCTACATTTCCACATTTTCATTGAATTTTCAATTTCTTTAATTTTTTGTTGTAATTAGCATCTACCATATTTTCAAGATCAATGTCAAATTTGATACCCAGTAACTTAAATGCTTCAGTACAGTCCATTCTACAGTTCTTCAATAGTTTCATTCGGCTACGTTTTTTGGAACCAATCCAAATCAACTTTGTTTTATCAGTGTTAATGTTTATACCAGAAAAACGTGCAAAAAACGGTTAATGTGTTCACGACTGCTTGCAAGCACCTTTCAGTACCATCTAACATTAAGGAAGTATCATCTGCGAATTGCGCTAATAAATGTTCAATAGATCCAATCTTTAATCCTCTGATAGATTTATTGTTTTTAAGTAATCTGGTTAATATTTCAGTGCATACTATGAAAATATATGGAGAGATTGGGTCTCCTTGGCGACAACCTCAACTTAGTTTGAAAAAAGGACTAGCAAAAACATTTACTAATACACAAGATTCAGAATTTTTATAGAGCAGTTTTATCCATTTTCGAATGGAAGGGCCGAAATAAAAAAAAAGCGAAAACGTTTTGAATAAATCGCCTGTCTAAAGAATCGAAAGCCTTTTCGAAATCAATAAGCATTAACAAGCCTGGAATCTGATAGGTATCCACATATTCCATAACGTCATACATTGGTCTTGTAACCTCTCCCATATATCTACCCTTTATGAAGCCTTTTTATTCCTCACTGATAAATGTGGTTAAAGTTGGTTTTATTCTCTTTGCTATGGCTGCAAAGGCACGTTTGTACACAGTATTAAGTAATGAAATGGGTAACTTGATAAAGTTGGTAACACATGACGTTTTTATGAATAGTAGTATATTAATTAATAGTTTTATTAATTCAATAAATAAAGTTTACTCAATTGCAGTTTACATTAACCATGTCACTGATTCCCGAAATATATTTTCTGACAAACACTGTCCGTGATACTGAAAAGAACACGCGCCGATTTAGCAATAGAACTGCACTGGTTGTCAAAAATATGTTATAGCTAAAGACAGGTACTCATATGTTTTCGAATTGACTCATGGTTGCTGGTTGTCAGTAAGGAACCGATAATCCTTGAAGGAATAATAAATTTTCGATCTTATCGTCCCCAAATGATCAAAATGTTACGACTGTCACCAGCTGTGACAGCCAAGAATGGTAGTACACTTGGTCCGGTCTAGTAAGTTCATATTAGGCTGTCGCGCAATTTGGCACCAGAACTGGTTCTTGAGTATTTGCTTGTCACCGGAAATCTAGTAGCGGAAGTAGCACCTCGCGAGACTTACAGGCCCTATACATGCCTGTTATACCAAGCTTAAGGCAAATAATGCGGCTGATGGGATTCCATAATTGGCGAAATCCGTAAGTCGTCGGGAAATTTACTCTTATCTATTCTGGAAAGTATATTCAATTCTCTATATGATAATGGAGACTTCCCTTTGACCTAGTCCAACACAGGCCCCCACTGCGGGTCGGAAAATCGATAAACTAGGCCCCGGTTTAGTATCAACACCCCCTACTATATAATACATAAAGGTTCATCACAGAAATACGGTGACATGATCGAAAACCGGACAATTACGCACATGTCAATGGATATATCGTATTTTAAAGTTGAGTTGAGTTGGGCTTTACGTCACATCGGCATTATTCCAGCCATATAGTGACGAGAACAAATTTGCATTAGTAAACATTGTAAGTACATACTCGGAATGAGTTTTATTTCAAAGACATATATAAGCAGAGAAAGTCATAGCATCAAATTTAAGGGCAGGCAATTTGTTAGTCACATTTTAAGTTACAATTTATGGTGGTTACATTTCGCAGTTACAATTTATGATACCGATCAACTTCCCTCAGGTAGTTCACTATCAGAAGAGCGCTCACGCGGGAGAACAGATCTTTTAGGTTTGTTGCATCATAATGTGAGTCCCTTGCAGACGATAAGTCAACGCATTCAAGCAGAATATGCTTGATGGTGAGAACCTCATCGCAAGAGACACACATGGGAGGTCCATCCCCATCCGTTTTCAACAGATAGTCATGTGTAAATCGACTGTGGCCAATACGACATCCTCGTTAAATTACCTCATCACGTCTTGACTGACAACCCAAGTAGGTATAACCGATTGTTGGCTTCAATTCATGGAGTTTGTTTCTTCCTACTTGAGTGTCCCACCTTTTTTGCATCAGGTCCCGAGTATTGCTTTTGATAGTGGGTTTGAAATCACTGTACGGGATTAGCAGTGGAGATAGGGGCTTGTCAAGAGCTGCTTTTGCTGCAGCATCGGCCTTGGTGTTACCTGCTATGCCGACGTGACCCGGCAACCAGCAGAGGATGATGTCACATTGGCCAGTAGAAAGGACGTTGTAAAGTTCTAATATGTCCAGGATGAATGGGTGACTTGAAGTCACATTTTGTAGTGCTTGAAGGCAGGATAATGAATCTGTAAAAAACGATGAAGTTTTTGGAATGTTTTTGCTGTTGAATGTAGGTCAAAGCTGAGAAGATAGCTTTGGCTTCAGCGGTGAAATTGGAACTGTTGTCGGGGATCCTAGAGGAGACAGTCTTGGCTCCAATGACTGTAGCGCTGGCAACTTGGCCATCGTCCTTGGATCCGTCTGTGAAAATGGATCTATGGGTGTTCTACTTCGAACGTAACTGGTTGTATTCCTGTTGGAACACCAAAGGATTTTTTTCAGACTTTTTTGAGTTTGGTGAGGGTAAGATCGACCTGTGGTTTCACCATTTGCCATGGTGGTGAGGACAGAAGTCGGTAAGGTGCAATGATGTTGAGATCAATTTTAGCTGCAGATATGTGTGGTTTGATCCTGAATCCAAGTGGTGGAGCAAGGCTTGGCAGTTTAGGAAACAAGTTTTCATAGAGCGGGTTGAAAACACAATTGTATGCTGGATTGGACTCATTTGAACGTAATTAATGATATACTGCAGTGAGAGTTTAATGCGGCGTTGTTCAAAGGAAGGTTCATTGGCCTCCGCATATAGACTGTCTACCGGAGAGGTCCTCACAAGTATCAAAAGCTTTTGTTCATATCTCCGATGTATGTAAGAGGCATATACATGCGCTTTCCCTGGGGATGCATTTGATGGGTTTTATTAAATCGCCAAAGACCGAGTTGCTGTGCCGGAAGTGTTAATAAATTGGTTAATAAAACGACAACAAATGCACGTGCGAAAACTCAAACGTCTATCATCCAAGATGTCACTATCTGATGTTTTATCTTGGTAAGAATAATTTTAAAAACGAGTACAAATATTTTTTAAAGAAACACATTCAGTCAGTGTAATGTGTTAGCCAATCAGATCGCCGGAGGTAGTGAAGTCAAGCGCTGACGAGCTAGTTTTGTATACTTCCGGCACAGCAACTCGGTCTTTGGCGATTTAATGTATATGCCTCCTACATACATCGGAGATATGAACAAAAGCTTTTGATACTTGTGAGACCTTTAAAATATTCATTGACATGTGCGTAATTGTCTGGTTTTCGATCATGTCACCGTATGTCTGTGATGAACCTTTATGTATTATATAGTAGGGAGTGTTGATACTAAACCGGGGCCTAGTTTATCGATTTTCTGACCCGCAGTGGGTGCCTGTGTAGACCAAGGCTTTCATCATCCGATTTATCAAAATGGAGATACAACTTTACCTGAAGATTACCGTGCCATATCACTTCTCAGGGTTTTTGGTAAACTACATACCAATATCTTAAACAATATACTTGCATAACGTATGTACCTTCCACTTGCTGTCTGGTTTCACTCGAGGTATGAACCTTTTGTCAAAGACGTGTGAGAACGGGCCGTGTCCTGAAAGAATCAAAACACATCCATTGACCAAATTACTGACCTGTCAATAGTATCGCAACACCTTTGATTTTAAACCCTAAGCAACCATTTATGTTAATATCATAATCATGTTTGTTAATTTTGCAGATTTCAGTCAGAAGAAATGTAAATACCAGCACATCGACGAAGCCAACATGAAATGTGTGCTAATATTTAAAAAAACATGACCAGAAATAATATAAATTTACATGAATCAGAAAGACATACTAAACAAATTACCGAGATCGTGGCAAAGTCCTGCTATTTCAATGCACTTGATATCATCTTCTTCAAACTGTTCAGGCTGTTTCTCTCTCAGAATCCGAGCAAATTTACCAGCCAGGTAGTAAGTTCTGTTTCAACATACAAAGTTTACATCAGTACATTTGGACAACAGAAAGAAACATAAATCTGTGCATATCACGCTGTAAGCGAACATCATCTCATAGGGGGTGAACATGTGTTGGATGTAGAGTCTTAGAGATGTAGTGTTGCGGTATTATTTACCCGATGCTGTGCTCAAAACGGTTGTGTGTTGCGCCCGGATATACAAAGTAACCTCCTCCGAGCTGCTTCAAATACCTCAACCTCTGAAACTGTGGGGTGTCTATTATCATCAGACACAGACCCGACACCCGTATAGTCCCATGAATCGGGTCTTTGAAAATCTATTAAAAAATGAAATTGAATGAAGTCATTGGTTTAACATCGTATTGTTCTCTGTATCTTCACATTAATTCACGTTTCTATATATGCCGTCACAGAAATATACAAATAGTATAAACAGAGATGTGATTCATATTAATTTTATTCACTGACATTTTAAAAAAATGAGCGGTAATAGATCTGATGTAAAGATGCTTACCTTTGACGGACCGGAAACAGAATCACTTCTGTGTGACAAAAATAAACGTTCTTTGATAAGTAATTTACAATATATTGTTACTTACTCATTTTATCACAGGTATAAAGGTATTGTCACATGTCGAATTATGACCATTGACAACATCCTACAGTAAAATAACTAAACTGCAGTTTGGATGTGTAAATCGAACTGTGAAAAGTTTTCAAAAAGTGTGAAACTTCGAGCTTAACAGCGCTTTTAAATCGAATAACCCGTCCACACAGATGTTACAGTTTCAAGCATTATCGTGAACTGGTCTCGACTGAACTCGAAAAGGATGTTTTAGTCTGGAGTTATTTCGTGAAAGGACATTGCAACCATGCTTACGTTAACGGTATCCACTGGCCCTATGTCACATGCTTAGTAAAGTAAAGAAAAGAAGGTAATTTAATATAAACCACGCTGGCTGAAAATATTTCAACATCAAGCTAGTTCTTGATGTACTGAGACAAGAAATATGTACGCATTGTGCGATTGTCAGATCAGGTGTCTACCCATCCAGCCAACAGGCCTGAAAGGAATGGCGTCAACGTTGAAGCATAACATTATTTATGTCTTTCTTCACTACACATGTGAACATACACATGTATGCAATACTCACTCTGAGCCACCGGGGTTTCCTGAAATAAATAAAAACAAAGTATATGGATTCTTCTAAATCTTCTAAGGTGATGTAACCAATGGCCTTTTTTAATGCAATGATTTTATGTGTGTGGCCGAGATGATTTGATTGCTGCTTTGTAAATGTTTTAAAAACATGTTTCTGCCTCATCAAGTACATGTACACGCTCATCAAGTACATGTACAAGCTATATATCACTTAAGCATCATACAAAAAGCTACGATAGATTCTACCCAGCAATTATGTAACCATGAACTTGACAATAGCCACTCTCACCAAAATCCAACTCTCATTACTCAAAACCAAAAAGTCTTTTTTCTTCTCTATCATTTTGTATATATGCTCTTTCATTATCATTTGTTTACATTTTTGTTCATATTTAGTGTACATATCCTCTCCAACCACCCCGTCCCCCGGTCATCCCACTCCCCACCCTCTCCTCCCATGGCCTCCCCTCTCCCGTCCTCATCACTCCTCTCCATCCCAACCAAAGACTTCCCATCCCTCACATGTCCTCTTAAAATAGACCCCATACCCATCAATTTCGGCCTTGACATTGACTCCCTTCTACCATCCCAATCAACCATCACACCACCCCCACCCCCACACACACCTACTACTACTACTTCCACTACCGCCAAACGTCCACACATCTCACCTACTGAAAACACCCAATCAAGTAAGAAACAATGCGTCCAAGCAACCTGATCCCAAGCCCAAACCAACAAGTACATTCTCCTAGCATTTGCCACCAACACACATACACAACTCAACAACACATTTTTAATCAACAAATTTGCACTATGCCTCAAACAATTAAACATTCAATACAAATACATAAACAATTGCGGCAGGGCTTCAAAATTACATTTGCAGACAAACAACAACTCAACAACACCCTAAAACACACAATTATAGATGGCAAACAAATTCGCTGGCAAGTACCACGGTGGCAATCAACAATACAAGGGGTTATACACATAGACGAACGGGAAACAGAAACGGACATCAAACAGTACATCGACATTGCCAACACCATCTCCACTCAAGCCCAAATCACCCAATTCCGCACAATCAACAACAGACAACCCACCTCATACAACCCCAACACCCAAACAACCTTCCTCACATTCGACACCACCACCCTTCCCTGGTGGGGGCAGGGGCATTTTCATTGCTGAGAAGCTTAATTATAACATTTTGCAAATTCCAGTCACAGATTTAGAAGTCCTGGTTATTAATACCAAACTAAATAACAAAGAAATTACCATTATTAACGTCTACAGAAGACCTAGCATTAAATCACTCACCAAGATTTGGACATGCTTTCTAAATTCATAGGCCCCGACACCATTTTACTCGGAGACTTTAATGCACATCAGCCACTGTGGGGCACAAGACCCTACACAGATATCAATGGAACCCGCCTCGCCGACTGGCTAGACCAACACAACCTCACATCCCTAGATGACAATCAACCAACCCGTTATCCCCTCTCTCACCTCCATTCACCCACCTGCCATAGACATCACACTCACCACACCCAAACTCACACAAGCTGGTATCTGGGAGGTACACAATGACACCTGGGGCAGCGACCACTGCCCAATCAAAATCACCATCACCTGACACACTCCCGACCCCGACTCCCCACCACCACTCCCCCACCTATACACACAGAAACCAGATACAATATCAATAAAGAAGACGGGCACAAATTCACTACACTATGCAAACAAGTAGACACTTCAACCATCTACAGCCCAGATATTGACACATTCAACAGTAACCTTACAAACACCACCCTAGACATCACAGATAAATGCATTCCCACTTTTCGGTTTAACCCTGCACAAAATGCAGTCCCATGGTGGAGCTCAGAAATCATCCATGCCAGAAAGGCTAGAAAAAAAGCCTTTAATCAATCAAAAAAGGACCGTTCAAAATTATATTTGGCTAAACAACTAAGAAATAAAACTAAAAAAATTATCAAGGCAGCAAAGATCAACCATTAGAGAAAATTCTGTTCTACCCTAAGGCAATCTCATCGTAACTCCAGGACTTTGTAGGACAAATTTACAGAAATAAAGGGCATTTCCCCCAAAAAAACAGTCTCACCCAACTTTCCGGACCTATCCACAAACAAAGACAAAGCTAATGCATTTCCTGCCCATTTCTTGGCCACAAGCAGCTCCACCAACTACCCATCCTCCTTCCAAAATACTATAAAAAACCAACTCATCCCATCCTACACCCCACAACCCCCCTAGACATAACAACCCATAAACAAAATCATTAACATACATGAACTCAAATCTGCACTTAATAACAAACAAACAGCCCCAGCCCCAGGTCCAGATACCATTACATACACCATACTAAACAAACTCCCTCCCAACATGCAAAACATCACACTCACCCCCTTCAACCATACCTGGACCACAGGTACTACACCCAACACTTGGAAAACAGCTAGGGTGGTACCAATCCTCAAACCAGGGAAACCCAATAACGAGCCTGACTCATACCGCCCCATATTTCTCATCTCCCACCTCTGTAAAACCCTCGAAACTATTATAAATAACAGGCTCAAATATCTTATTCAAACCAACAACCTAATTAAGGAGGACCAGAGCGGCTTTACTCTAAACCGACAACCTTTACACCACATTTTACATTCGGAACAAGGTATTAAAGTAGCACAGGCACAGAAACAATAACCATCTTTATAGATTTCAGTTAAGCTTTCGACATGGTTTGGTACAACGGCCTACTGCAAAAACTTCAAAAACATGCCATTCACGGTCGAATTCAAAATTTCGTTCACTCTTTCCTAAACAACAGACAAATAACAATCAAATCTCACAACACCATCTCGGATCTTTATCCTCTAGAAAATGGAACCCCCCAGAGCATATTATACCCAACTTTGTTCAACTTCATGATTAATGATATATTCCCGAGTAAATAGCCAGAAATCACACCTGCCAAATTTGCAGATGCTATTTCATTTTGGACTTCCTCTACTTCAGTTAAACAGGCATCCACCAAAATTTTTTAAAAATGCTAAATTCCTTCCAAAACTGGGCCCAAAAAAATTGGGGTTCCATATCAATGTAAAAAAAACGTGGGCATAGTATTCAAAACACAGTATATGCAAAATTAATCCCCCGAAATACACCTAAATAACCAAGAAATTGGTTTAAAAAAAGAAGCCAAATTCCTAGGAGTAACCTTCGACCACCATATGACATGGACACCCAACACTAATAACTTGGTCAATTCAAGTCAAAAGGATTTAAACTAAATGCGAGCCATCAGCGGCACAATTTGGGGTGCCGACAAACACACACTTATCAACATATATAAAACTCTCATACTGTCGAGACTAGACTACGCCGCCCGGTCCTCCACAACCTCTTACCCGGTAATCTGCAAAAACTCAATTCAGTACGATTTAAAACCCTCAAGCTAGCCCTCGGCACGAGGAGTGGTACATCTCTTAACACATTACTTCTACTCACAGGCACCTCTTCAATCACACAAAGAATAAACCAAACCACACTCACCTACTGGGCTGGGGCCCAACACAACCCTGTATTTAAGCTCATCACACAAAAATACAACAACATTAAAAAAATCAACACTTAAAAAGTTCAAATCTAACCCATCCAAAGCCTCATGTCTCACCCACCTATAAAGTCTGCTACATGCACATCAGCTAAATAACCTACAACACACACCTCCCATTACAAGGTACATTCACGACAAACCTCCACCCATCACAGACACCACCCATGACACAACCCTCAAACAGCTACCTAAAGACACCCCCAAAACTACCATAACAAACATAAAAAAACAACTACATAAACACAAACTACCCCACCCACACTCACATATACACAGATGCATCCATCCACCCAAACAAAATCACAGGCCTAGGCATATATGGTCAACAACCTCCCCTCCCTCCCATTACAACCAACTTCCACTATACCAACCTTACCACAATAAATACTGCAGAACTAACAGCCAACCTCACTGCACTGCACCTAATACCCTCCCTACCCAAAACAAACTTCCTCATCCTAACCGACTCACTCAATTCCATCAAACAACTACAGAACATGCACTCCAAATCTCGCCCAGACCTCATCCACAGTATATACTGAGTCCAAAAAGAATCTTCACATTCTTTCTTCAGTGCACTATAAAAGAACAAGAGATGGTAAGATGGTTAAATTGTTATTATTTCATTGCTGAGATATGTGTGATGTACTCGATACACTGACAGTGCCATAATCAGTTCCATTAGGCTGCACCGCCGTTCCAAAACATGGGTATGCAGAATGTCAAGTCACAAGAATAAAAAAAGCGAAATGTCTCAGTTCAATATCGTGTATGGCCGCCCCGCGCATTCACCACTGCCAAACACCGTCTCCTCATCGACTGCCTGATGCTTGTGAACATGTGGTTGGGAATTCTGCGCCATTGCTCTTGCAAGGCAGCGCCAAGTTCCTGCAAATTCTGAGGCTGGTTCCTAAGACCACGAAGCCATCTCCCAAGTGTATCCCAAACGTGCTCTATTGGATTACGGTCAGGGGACCTCGATGGCCAGTCCATGACGTTGATTCCAGCGTTTTGAAGGAAATTTCATGTCAACATCGCGGTATGCGGCCGAGCATTATCATGCTGGAACTGTGGACTTGGGCCATGAGCCGTCATGAAAGGAAGGAGTTCAGGGGTGAGCACCTGGTCGCGATAAGCAGCATCTGCGAGGTTTCCACGTATGACTAGAAGTCGGGAACGGTTGTTCCCACAGAAAGCACCCCACACCATGCAACTTCCGGGTACTTTGTCAACATTGAATTATTACCCGGACTCACTTTTCAACGCCCGGGGTCTTTTTTCAACGTTGAATAATTACCCGGCTGCTATTGAAAAATAACCCGGGTCACGTATTGAAAAGAAAACCCTCGTTGAATAATGACCCTC